AAAAGACGTTAAGAGGTAATTGTCTTTTTCTGAATAGAAATATACTGGTCTTTTGGAAAAGAGAATATATATATATATATATATATATATATATATATATATATATGTATGTGTGCGTTTGCGTATGTGTGTTTGTGTGGGCGTCAATCTCTGTTTTGTACAAGCTTCATTAAAGAAACAGACAAGGTAATGCGATTAAGTGTTTTATTCAATTGTTCGTATAAGTGATTTCTTTTCTGGTCATAAATTGTGTAAGTGTATATATATATACATACATACACACATACATACATACATACATATATATATATATATATATATATATATATATATATATATATATATATGTATATATATATATGGCGGCCTGACGATTGCGTCTATCATGAAACAACCTCTCGCCTCTAAGTGTTGATTTCAATGTTCACTTTTATATTTACATACGTTCTATCTCTGATATTGAGCAATTTATCACACAAATAAAGCACGCCTTGAAACTATATTTTTTTATAGTCATATATATATATATATATATATATATATATATATATATATATATATATATATATAACGAAACAATTTTTTTATTGTTTACAAATGTTCTATATATATGCAAGGCTTTCGGCTATTCTATGAGTCATTTTCAAGGATGTTTTTTGTATTTGAATTTTCAACTGAATGTGTAGATCTTTCTATAATGTATCTGAAGTGATAGGAATGCTTATTTATTGATTTATTATTATTATTATTATTTTCAAACACGGTCAGCACATTGACTGCATTTTTTTGAGCAAATAATCTTACAAAAACAAAAGAGACGTGAAAACTTGTTTGTCATTACAAGAAATGAGATTAATCATAGCAATCGAATCCATTACATTCACTTACGGGCTAATACCCTTGGGAAGGTATTAATCCTCTTCTCTCTCCAGCTATGGGTAAATAGTAGGATAGACTGGGTTCTATAGCCTTGGATGGCAGCTGGTCTAGGAGAAGGACAGCTCTGAATTCAAAACCTGCGGAGGGTCGTTTGGGGACCTTGTGGCACGTAGTGCACCAGGTCTCTGTATTCGGCCCTTCAAAAAGTGTGGATGATTTTGCATAAAACCTTCAACACTATAATCAAATCTATGTGCTGGTGTCGGCCTGTCATTTTTCTAGGAACTGATTTGAAACCCTCAAACGTTAATTCGACAGGAGAGTTGTATATATATATATATATATATATATATATATATATATATATATATATATATATATATATATATATATATTTATGTGTATATATATATATATATATATATATATATATATATATATATATATATATATATAAAGGACAGTTGTCTATATGTGTGTGTCCCCAGTTAAAACTAAAAACTACAATGCAGTTTCATTATCGCTTAAGCCAAAAATTATCATCGTATGATTTGTATTTACGAAGATATTTTAAGATTAAAATGCATAAGAATGCATTCAAAATTCTCAGCATTAAAAAGTAAAAACGAATGATAAGAATTCTTATTCTCGAATTGGATTACCGTTCGTTGTTACTTTTTTATTCTGCTAAACGCTATCGAAGTATATATTTTTAAAATTTCTATTCTCTTGAATTTATTTTCACATCTGTAGTAAATAAAAGCATAACTGTAAAAACATATTAAAACAACAAAGTAAATTGAAAAGAAGAAAAATATTAAATACAACAATTTAATAAAAAGTTTAAATATTTAAATATTCGTGTGTGAGTGTGTGCAGCTACAAAATGAACGAACTTCGGATGCTACGGATAAAAGCTGCGGGGGAAAAAAATCTGCAGGAAGAATAAAAAAAAATCTGGGGAGCAAGTTCCTTGAGACACGAAATAACCACGCCTAATGTGTATGACGGGTAAAAACTCTTTGAAATCACTTTGTGTCTCGCTAACATTCCCACGTTCGGCTCAGCAATAATCAAATTCGGCATCCCTATTTTAAACCATCTGACCTTAAAGGTCAGCCTCAGAAAGGTCTGAACCAAAACACAGCCACTAAAAAAATTTAATAGCCTGAAAACTATTATTTAACAAACACACAAAAAACACATATATATATATATATATATATATATATATATATATATATATATATATATATATATATATGAAAAAGCGTGAAACTCAGAGTCACAAACTGATATCCATACAACTCAATATGTTAGCTCTATCACTGATATTGAACACTATATGTGTGTGTGTGTGTGTGTGTGTGTGTGTGTGTGTGTGTGTGTGTGTGTGTGTGTGTGTGTGTTTAGGCAGCAATCCTTCTTTCATGGACATTTCATTGAATAAGATAGACAAGGTGCTTTGATTTAGTTTTTCTATACAATTTCACATGTGATCTAATATTTCTTTTCTGTTCGGATGATAAATTATATAAAAACTGTCTAATTGTTCTTTTTATCCGAGCACTTTTTTTTTATATATTTAGCCATTTAAATATATATATATATATATATATATATATATATATATATATATATATAATTATTTATTCGAAAATTATAACATAAATATGTTATAAAATCACTAGAGGTGTTGAAACAAAATGGCTATTTTTGTAGTATTTTATAACATATTTATTTAATACTGAAAAGGTGTTCACGTTATATTCCTCAATTATTTTTTAAACTTAACAAAAAATAATAGTTGTTTCAAATCAGATTAATTATACATTAAATCAGCTAATATTACTCGGATAAAGTTTCAGAAAAGTATATTTTATTTTTGCAAGATTTTTAACAAAAAGATTTTTATATCGTTTTATTAAAATGATACCAAAATCAAAACTTTTATAAGTTAAAAAAAAAAACAACAACAAATACTTACAACCAATTTTATGTATTATATTCGCTCTACTCTGTATTGAGCACTCTTTTAAGAATAGTAATTTTTTCTTATTGGAATTTATTCTGTATACACCAATCATATACTTTGTATATATATATATATATATATATATATATAAAGTGAATATAAAGTCAACATGTTAGATGCGACAGTCTGTTTCATGTTATATGCAATCGTCAGGTGGCCTGACGATTGATATAGCATGAAACAGATTGTTGCTTTCTAAGTGTTGACTTCTATGTTCACTTTTATATTTACAAACGCTCTATCTCTGATATTAAGCAATTTATCCCATAAATATAATAACACCTTAAGACTATATTTCTTCATATATATATATATATATATATATATATATATATATATATATATATATAATTGACAAAATACAGAGCGATGATTTGCAAGTTGCTAGCATAGCTAATGTGATCTTCACCGGGGGAAGCTTGTAACGTGTACCTTAATTGCCGTAAAATGATAGTTAATATGAAAGAAATATGTCGTACAGGTAAGATAAGCAGAAGTATCAAGTTTAGGTTTTATAAAATCAGGATCATCAATTTTCTGTTATATAGATCTGGAAAATGAACCAAGTACATGGTAAACTTATTGGCCTATTAAGTAGATAAGTTCGCTCCGGTCTTCCGAAAAGGGGTAGAAGTTTATCACTTGTTTCCTGTTTTGGAATGAGTTTCCGGTTCGTTCTAAATTCTACTTCAACTCTATACTTCTAACGTCTCTGTCTAAACTCTGAAATTTTATTTACTATCTTTTCTCAATAAGACTAGACAAGTTTACCTATCGCCCGGTTCACGTCCCTTTGAAGAAGAGTAGATGTTTATCCTTTGTTTCCTGTTTCTTTCGTTCCCAGTAGCCACCTCCCACGTCTTAATGACATTATTGCTTTGCTTGGGAGCGAACTGATTTTTAAAAAAAAACTGCTTAAGATAGATCCTCAAGATTAGATGGCAAGACATATATTCTTAAATCACTTCATTTGTTGGTCATTTCATTCTCTGCAAATAGATTTTTCTTCCGAGGGTGCATATTTTACATCTGAAGAATTTTATTGGTAGAGTTAGTCGAAACGTCCGTCGAGTATAAATGGTTATAAAAAAAAAAATTATAATCTCAAAAATGATGAGAAGAACGCCTGTTTAAAAGTATTATATAAAATACCAGGTTTATTCAGTCAGAGTTAAAATTTTGAGTTGACCTTTCTTCATTTGAAGTGTCGGCTCAAGCTGAGGTAGGTCGGCTAACTTCTAAGCGGGTGTTCTTTACAAAATCGAAGAACGTTTAACGCCAAAAGGAAATCAGTGCTGGCATTGACAGGAAACTGTGGTGTGGAATGAAAAGAAGGAGTTTTCAAATTCAACTTCGTAATTTCGACTTGGTCGGGAACTTTTGAGTTAGAATTTATTCGTTCTCCGCAATTCTTCGGCCGAAAGAGTCGTCCTGCTGGATAGAGTCGAGCGTTCGCCGAGCAGCATGTCGTCATACATCGGGGTGAAACTGGTACCAACTGCCTGAAGGCCAAAATCGAAGAATTTATAGTGAGAACACTTAGAAGGATGGTCAGAGATTAGATTTCTTAGGGTCCCATGCTATTCCAAATTTGACTGGCTCTAGTATTACATCGTAATTTTAGTGACCCAATTCTCTCTTATAGAGAAAAAGGCTGAATGACGTCACTTACGCATTCTGCATATCCGCTCGTAGCCTATCAGAAATCCCAGCTAAAAAGGAAAGACTTCCTGTTTAATATTTTCCTAGTAATACGCCTTTTCTGCGTAGGCAAAATTTAAAATTATAGAAATTTCTTGTTTTATTATCTGAAGCGAAAAGAAATCAGTTTAAGAAAGAAAGAAAAAAGAAAGAAAAAGAGAAAGAAAGAAAAAGAGGAAGAAAGAAAGCAAGAAAGAAAAAGAAAGAAAGAAAAAGAGAAAGAAAAAGAAAGAAAGAAAAAGAGAAAGAAAAAAGAAAGAAAGAAAAAAGAAAGAAAGAAAAAGAGAATTTGAGAACGGAACAAAAAAAAAGAAATAGGAAAATAAATATGAAGAAAAGCAAAAAGAGTCAAGGCAAAGGAATGTTTTAAAGGAAAGTCGTGAGTTCACAGAATAGAATGTGAAAGTTTCATTGTGGTTTTAACAAGAAAGGAAGAGGTAAATGTGAAGAAAGAGAAAAAAAACGCTACCTCAAAAGGAAGAAAGAAGGAAGGAAAAGGAGAAAGTGAATAAGATAGAAAGAAAGAAATCGAGAAAAAAAGAAAGAAAGAAAGAAAAAAAAAAAGAAAATGAGAAATCGAAAACGTATTAAAGAAATAGTGTAAATAAAAAAGAAGGAAAGTAAATGGAAAAGAAAGAAATCGAGAACGAAATATATAGAGAGAGTAAATGAGAAAGAAAAACAGAAAGAAAAAAGAAAGAAAAATAGAAAGAAAGAAAAAGAGAGCGAAATAAAAAAAATAATAAGTAATGGGGAAATAAATATGAAGAAAAACAAAAACAAAAGAAGTGAAAATAAAAGAAAAAGACAATAAAAAACGAATGAAAGCAAGTAAGTAAAAAAGAAAGAGAGAAATTGAGAAAGAAAGAAAGAAAGAAAGAAAGAAAGAAGTGGGGAAAGAAAATAGGAAGAAAGACAAAAGCAAAAGTGTAAAGAAAGAAAGAGACAAAGAAATCGAGAACGAACGAAAGAAAGAGTAAATGAGAAAGAAAAAAGAAAGAAAATAGAAAGACAAAAAAAAAGAAAAGAAAGAAAAGAAAGAAAAAAAATAAAAAAAGAAAAAAAAAAAAGAAAGAAAGAAAAAGGGAAAAAAGAAAAAAAGAAAGAAAATAGAAAAAGAAAAAAAAAAAAGAAAGAAAAAATAGAAAGACAAAAAAAAAAGAAAAGAAAAGAAAGAAAAAGAAAGAAAAAGAAAGAAAAAAGAAAGAAAACTAGAAAGAAAGAAAAGAGAAAAAGAAAGAAAAAAAAAAGAAAAGAAAAAAAAGAAAAGAAAAAAGAAAGAAAGAAAAAAGAAAGAAAGAAAAGAAAAAAGAAAGAAAGAAAAAAAAAAGAAAGAAAAAAGAAAGAAAGAAAAATAGAAAGAAAGAAAAAGAGAAAGAAAAAAGAAAGAAAGAAAAAAGAAAGAAAGAAAAATAGAAAGAAAGAAAAATAGAAAGAAAGAAAACTAGAAAGAAAGAAAAAGAGAAAGAAAAAAGAAAGAAAAAAAAAAAAAAAAATAGAAAGAAAGAAAAAGAAAGAAAGAAAGAAAAAGAAAAAAGCAAAAAAAAAAGAAAAAAAAGAAAGAAAAAAAGAAAGAAAAATAGAATGAAAGAAAAAAGAAAGAAAAAGAAAGAAAAAAGAAAGAAAAAGAAAGAAAAAAGAAAGAAAGAAAAAGAGAATTTGAGAACGGAATGAAAAAAATAAGAAATAGGAAAATAAATATGAAGAAAAGCAAAAACAAAAGAGGCAAGTGAAAAGAAAGAAAGAAAAAAAGAAAGAAAGAAACAAACAAACAAACAAACAAAAAAGTGGTGAATGTAAATAGGAAGAAAGACTAAAGCAAAAGTAAAAAAAAGAAAGAGAAATAAATCGAAAACGAAAAAAGGAAAGAGTAACTAAGAAAGAAAGAAAGAAAGAAAGAAAAAAGAAAAGAAAAAAGAAAAGAAAAGAAAGAAAGAAAGAAAGAAAGAAATCAAAAAAGTAAAAAAAGACTCGTGAAAGGAAAGCCAGAATTTCGACTTTAAAATAATAAAAAATATAAATAAGGTAGACAGTCACATCAATTTATAGTAATTAAATTAATCCTTTAATAAACTACTTTATCAAAATATTACTTATTTCATTATTATAGATGAAATATAACTTTTAGTTAATAACAACAAATTATATAAGAATATAATTTTATAAAAAATATTACCTTTTTTTCGCTTTTTCTGCTGTGGACGTACTTATACGTCTTTATGAACCGGATGTGTACGTTTTGATGTCACCATGAAATGTTTGTTTTTTTAACTAGCGTTTAGTGATATTTTAGCGTAGATATATAGTGGCGCACAAGTTGACTTTTTTGTGGCGTATTTTATATTATATTGTGTGTTTAGGGGTATCGTTTTACTTAGTATATACTGCAGATTATCAAATCGAAACCAAAACCTCGACGCCTATGAAAAATTGGCCTAAGCAACTTGCTCGACTAATACACGAAAATTTCCCGTTTTTACCAAAACGGGTTCTCCTTACCTTAATAGTATTACAGTTGATACCAAAGGAAACCGGCTTAATTGATAGTTGATAATAGAAAGAACTATTTCAATTCGACTTTCATACGTACACTACTTGTCTTTACTACTTTTAAATCAACCCGAATTTATCAATCTACTTTTAAAGTATCTGATTTCAGATACATGGAACTTCTGAATTTTCGTCAAAGTTAAGAATACAATTGTAAGTAAGGTTTTCAAATTGGACAAGAGAACGCGCAAGGTAGCTTATGACAGATCTTTTGGTGTGTGTCGTCCAAAGGAGAGTACTTTAAAAAGAACTAAGACGCTATTTCCCTAGGTAGGCTATTTTGCCGTTCATATTGAATACGGGACAAATCTCGTACGTATACATATAAACAAACGAATATATTCAACCATACATACCATACATGCACATGCACACACAAGCCCGTATACACATTTAATACACAAGCAAATATACTCGCCTAAGTATATACACGCGCACGCACACACACATACACAAAGAAAAATTCTCAAGCACACTATATACATTCTCAAATACGTTTACATAATCACACATGCACACACATAAATATAGACTCACATATATACACGCACATGCACAAGGAAAATATTTGCACACGCTTTATATACACATACACGCACATTAAAATATATGTGGGGAACACAAAAATACTCATACACACAAGTACAACCATACATATATATATATATATATATATATATATATATATATATATATAAGTGAACATAGAAGTCAACACTTAGAGGCGACAGTCTGTTTCATGCTAGAATCGTCAGGCCACTCGTGTTGACTTCTATGTTCACTTTTATATTTACACACGCTCTGTCTCTGATATTGAGCACTTTATCCCATAAATATAGCACATCTTAAGACTATATTTCTTTATATATATATATATATATATATATATATATATATATATATACTCAGGTAACGCGTGATCTCGTGTATCGTGCGACCTTCAAATCTTTATTTGAAGTGTAATTCGTGTATAATGCGAGTTTCTTTGTTGAAAAACCAAATTACTGTTAAATAATAGTTTATCAGGCTATTATTTTTAGAGGAAGTGTATCTCGGCTTCGACTTCCGGAGGTTGACAGCCGGGGTCACATGGGAGCCATAATAGGCAAGTCGATTTCCATTGGTTTAGCTAGCGTGTAAAGAGAGAGGAGAAAGATTTCAGAGAGTTGGTTTTTACCCGTCAACCAATGTAGACGTGTTCTCTTTCGTGTCCGAAACGGCTCCCCTCTGAGGGAAGAGGCGACCCACACTGGATGGTTAAATAATTTATAAGTCGACATGATAAAAATAGTTAAGTCTTTCATTGCTGAACCAAAACGATCACCGATCGTTGGCCGAACGAATAATGCTACATAACCTCTTTTCCTTTATCTCTTTATTCCATCTAGTTAAATAAGTTAAAAAAGTAAAAGAGAATGATAAAAGTATCGATAGTAACGCTATACTCGTTGCATAAACGGGTACAACTATAAACAACCGAACGAGAAACAGATAAATATCTTATAAACGTAAAAAAATGAAAAAGATGCATATTCGTTATGTTTGTATATTATAATATGATTCTAATATGTCAATATTATATGCATTATTATTGGATACAGTTAAGCAAAATCAAAATCATGTTTATTTTAAATACTAGAAGGCTAGTAAAAAGACGAACGTTTCTAAGAGCTACCATAAAAAGTTGTGGAGAGCCCAAGAATTCCCTGCCTTTAAAGTAAATAGAAAAAAGATCAGCACATATGGCTATAAGGATCTCCTCGATAGGCCTAGCATAGAAATAATTACAATATGGGAGCCGTTAATAAAGACAGGAAGACAAATCTCAGCAAGTCTTCAACTGCAGCAACAGTAACAATCAAAAGATGAGCAGCAACATTCAAAACATGAGAGTAGCAGCAGTTTCAATTCTGATCAGCAGGCAGGCTAGGTTTAAGGTTCCAAGTTTACTACAGCAAATTGTCCTACGAGACAAAGAAAGATTTTGTGATATAGTGATTGTGAGTTCGATCTCTGGGTAGTATGCGCTGGCACTCAGTAGAAAACGGACGAGAAATAATAAAAACAAAATGAGAACAGTCTACCCCCGTAGAATAGATAGCGTTCAGTTCCCTGTAGGTTACCCGGATCAATATATAAACTTGTGATAACAACAACAAAGATGAGGACAAAATAAGAATAAAATTAAATTATCAAACTAACAAAAACAAGAAGAAACATGCATATGGCAAAGTGGAACTACTTTCGCGGGGAGCCTATCGCTTTTCTTAATTTTATCAGCGTAATAATTTATGGATATTGCCATTGTTTTCAGGTCTCCTCAATGCTGATAGCAACTGATAACAGGACCCACTTCCGACTTCCGCACGTTGCCAGGCGAAAATGATAGAATTTCGACATTTACGTGACCAAATTAGTTAAGGCTGACGACAAGGAAGTCACACAAACGCAGACGAGAGTCACCCGTTTACAATAATACAACAATCTGCACATTCACAAGATTCCCAACCTCGCCAGTTTGTTTTCGGCCTCTTTTTTTTACCTCTCAACTGGGTCAGTTTTCTTCTTTCCCTTTGGCCGTATTTATTTTATCCTTTCCCTCTCCGTTAGTGAGAGAGCCTCTTGATTTTGTCTAAAGACAAAATACAGCGGCCTCTCTGAATTCTTTTGAGGGCTTGACGGCTCCAACCAACGTCAATTATCCTATTGTTTTGTATCTGTCTATATTTTTGAGATGAGGTATTATGTACACTATTTACATTATCCGGACTATTGACCTCATCTGTGTCGCCATATTTATTACAACGTTTCGGCCCTTCAGTATCTGCCTATATTTCTGATATGAGGTATTATGTACACTATTTACATTATTCGGACTATTGTCCTCATCTTTGTTGCCATATTTATTACAACGTTTCGGCCTTTCAATATCTGCCTTTATTTCTGAGATGAGGTATTATGTACACTATTTACATTATTCGGACTATTGTCCTCATCTTTGTACCATATTTATTACGTTTCGGCCCTTCAGTATCTTTCTATATTTCTCAGATGAGGTATTATGTACACTATTTACATTATTCGGACTATTGTCCTCATCTTTGTACCATATTTATTACAACGTTTCGGCCCTTCAGTATCTTTCTATATTTCTCAGATGAGGTATTATGTACACTATTTACATTATTCGGACTATTGTCCTCATTTTTGTCGCCATATTTATTACAACGTTTCGGCCTTTCAGTATCTGTCTATATTTCTGAGATGAGGTATTATGTACACTATTTACATTATTCGGACTATCGTCCTCATCTTTGTACCATATTTATTACAACGTTTCGGCCCTTCAGTATCTTTCTATATTTCTCAGATGAGGTATTATGTACACTATTTACATTATTCGGACTATTGTCCTCATTTTTGTCGCCATATTTATTACAACGTTTCGGACGTTGTACGCTCCGGCCTCCTTGGAATGCCTACCCCAGTGAGCGAAATAAAGGGTTCAGTTCGACATTCCAACCACCTGAAGAACCAGATACTGAGTTTAAACTCAGTTTTCATCTGTCCCTCTTAGATTTAATATGTTGTGTCAGTGTTAAATTTTCCAATCTATCTTGAGTGGCTCTTGAGCCTTATACTAAGTGAAGATTGCTAAGAAAACAAACAAGTAAATGTTTACCTGCGTAGAAAATCTAAAATGAAAAAAAATAACAGGCGAGACAACACAGACACACACACACACACACACACACACACATATATATATATATATTTCTCAAATTACCATATTAATAAAATAACGAAACTCTTAAATTTTCAAAAACTTCAATCTTAGCGTTTTTATTTGTTAACAATAACACATTTCTAAAAAAAAAAAAAGCATATTTCGATTCGCAATTAATTTTTCCTGTCCGCTGGATCTACTAAAAAAAAAAAAAGAATTTCCATGCCTGAGGATGACTGTAAGTATAGCTGAAAGTACTAGCAAAATTAAAAAGACCTTATACAACTTGAAATTATTAAAAACAAGGATCATAACATTCATCGAGTGGTTCGTAGGTTAATGTAACTTTAATAAATTTCTTTGTGAAGATGTTTTTCGCCATTTATATCATTAACTTTACTAATCTATTTTTTTTTATGAATGATTCATGTAATATATATATATATATATATATATATATATATATATATATATATATATATATATATATATTAATTTCTCTTTTGAAACATGGTAATTCCTGTGTAGGGATGGAAGCATATTTTTAAATGATTTAATTTATAATATAAGATAATTTAATTTATAAATAATTTATAATATATAATAATTTAATATATATGTATATGTGTGTGTGTGTGTGTATGCGTGTGTGTGCGTGCGTGTGTATGTATTCCTATATATGACAATTTTAGTCGGTACCTACTAAAAATTACTTTTATCGTCATAAAGAATAATATCAGATACGAAATATATTCAATATATATATATATATAGAGAGAGAGATATATATATATATATATATATATATATATATATATATATATATATATATATATGTGTGTGTGTGTGTGTGTACAGTCACGAATAGTAGTTTGTAAGCCCGGGTTTCACCTTAACTGGTTTATTTTTTCAAATGTTGATCTATTTATGCTTTATTTGTGCTCGAATATTTGTGTGTGGTGACGGGGGAATTTTCTTCTGTGTTTTTTTTGTTTTTGTGGTGGTGTGTGTGGGGGGGGGAGGTGACACTCTCATATATACACAGACACATACACATACAGGTGTATGCATTTTAGTTCGGGGTGAATTAATTTCAACGTGATTCACCGCGACGCGAATGAGTCGGAACTTTTCTTGTCGATAACCCCAAAATGGTAGATTTTTTTCAAAATTTGTTATTTTCGAATTAGGCATGCACATTTACACCTAAATGGAACTATTCGGCAAATTTTTATTAGAAACTGAGCGCGTGGCTTGAACCGTAAGGTTATGAGCTAAAATTAATTCTGTCACCCTTTGCTTCATACAAACACACCCATATAAATAATCTGAGGTTACGCACAGTTACACATGCATGCGTTCGAACATATATATATATATATATATATATATATATATATACCTAATTATCATTCTATTTTGGTGTCAAGACTTTTTTGGTTCACTACTGCTGTAACCTGGTATTGAACTCAAAACTCCTTGAGTCTAGTCACTGGATACATGGCCCAATGGATAAAGGCATATATAGTGTATATATCTGCATTTTTTATGATGGTATTTTACAAGGTATTCGCTTTTAGTTTTCGATTTTAAGTATCGTAGTAAAAATCTGTTTTTGTGTCTGTATTTTCAGGTAAGTTCTGATCATTTATTTAGTAATTTTGTTTGTCTGGGAAGCTGATTTTAACTATTTTCTCCTCCGGACAGAATTTAGAGTTTTGGGATTTATTGTTGTAGGCTGATGCTGTTTTTCTTATTTTTCATGATATTTTTGGTGTAATTTAGTTTTTATTTCCTATATGTGCTTAGAAAGAATTGTGCTGTTCGCGTATTTATTATTTGTAAAGGATGTTTTGTGTGCGTAGTTTCTCTGTTTCCAGGGTCCTTTAGTTACTTCTCTATATATTTTTTCATTATCTGCTGATTTTACAGTGGCTTCGTATATTACATTGTTTTACAAGCAATTGCTATTTAAGCAATATTCGTTATTTACTCTGCAGTTACAAGAGGGTTTAGTTTGTGCGAGTGGTTTGTTGGTTATTTTTCTGCTTTTTATTGTCATGTTCTCAGTTCAACTGTAATTGAATTTTAAAGTGCTTCTGTTGCTTGTTTTTTCACTTTTGTTGTACGGTGGGTTAAAGCCAATGATCTTTTTTCCTGCTGGTATTTTTGTGCTATGTGATGTTTTTGCGAGTGTTGGGGAAAACCCACCATCTTTTAGGGCTGTTTCATAATCTTTTTGGTCTTCGTTGAAGATGGTTTCGTTGGAAGAAATGTCAGATAATCTAGGGTTAATTAATTTTGGGAACTTCTTGATTATTGTTGGCGAGTGGTTGGAAGATGTGTGTATGTAAAGTGGTTTGTCGTAGGTTTTTCTATATGGTTGATACGTACCTTTACTTAGGTTGAGTGTGGCGTCTTGGAAATTTAGTTCTTTTAGGTTTGTTTTTATGTCAATGTCGAATCCCATATTTTAGAAAAATTTTATAATTAATTTTCTGGTTTTGTCTGTTTTTTGTCTCTTACAGTTTCTTAGAATTATGAGACCTTCGTCCCTGTAGAGGCCTATATCATTTTATCGATTGATTTACTTCATGTAATAAATATATACCTATACACACACAGGTTTTTGCGCCATCAAAGTTTCCCATTATAATGTCGAAAATTCTTTCTTTCTTTATCTACGTGTCTTCATTGTTGAATAATAGTGATTTTCGGGAGTGTATAATGATTTTTACTTTATTTTTATTTTTCCTAGAGCTAAGAAGATGGCCTTATCTTGCATAAGTTCGGTTATAGAAAGGAAGAAATCTTTTATATATAGTTGTATTTATTCGCAATTATGCTTGTTTTTTAGGTTTCGGAACCATTCCATTGCAGTTTTGTGTTTCCCGCTGCTTTACTCCTAACGCCCTCCTTAATTCTGACCTAATTCTTTCTAGGATTATGTTACTTATTTTACTTAGTTCATATTTATTTGGGTTTATGGGTATGAATATTGGGTTTTCTGAATGACCAATCCTTCAATCTCTATCTGTGGTAGACCCGTCTGTAATCTACGTTTTGCAGATGACATTGACCTCATAGCAGGTAGTAACAGAGAGCTCCAGGACTTGCCCAACAAAGTTTTTGAAAGAGCAGGAGCATATGGAATGGAGGTCAGCTCCAAGAAATCCAAAAGAAATGGTGAATATCACAAACAGTAACTGGAATTCACTGGAGGAAGTGTCCAGTTTTAAATACTTGGGAGCAATCTTGTCTAAAGAACTAGAACCATCTACCCCGGTGGTCGAAATAAAGGGTTCAGTTCGAAATTCCAATCAGCTGAAGAAGGCCGGATCGTACAATGGCCGAAACGTTGAAAATATGGTAATAACAGTCCGAACAATGTAAATAATGAAAACAAAATATATTAATAGAATCTAGTTCTTAGTGGCGAATTGTTTGACATTGTAGAATCATTTTTTACGATGGCGTCCTCTCTTACGTCCACCTTCAACGGTGCCTTGCATGATGGTCGTGCACAGTCTGGCGTGCCTTTTAATATGTCAAAACCACGCCGAGGTTCCTGGTCGCTCACAAAATTTTCAACCCTTTTCCGCAGAAACGTTTGGAAAGAGCAGGAGCATATAAAATGGAGATCAGCTCCGAGAAATCAAAAAGAAATGGCGAA